ATATACAGGGTGTTTCAGTTTATTGTTGCATAACTTTAAGATTCGATAGAACTTCTAAAATTAATGCATAAAGTCTATATAAACATGGGTCGAAAAATGCGTGCCTTCCGAAATACAGTGTGTTTAAATTTACTTTCTAAAATAGTTTTTTTTAAATATTTCGAACAATATTTGATGTATAACAGTGAAAATTGGTACACAAGGGTTTTTTGGTACGACAAAACGAACTATGGGCATAGTTTTACTATAGCCACTAGAGGGTGCTCTCTACTGTACCTGTAGTGTATTAAAATGACCGAAAATTTTTTCTTTGTGCAATTTTTTGCTTTTTGAACAAAAAAAACTGGTTCTTCGCACTTTTCAACATAAAAAAGCTCTCCTGTGAGTTTTCGTTATAGTTAGCCGTTTTTGAGATATTTCGATTTTTAAGGTTCGATGCATTTTTAATTATTCATGGGAAAATAATATTTTTTTACATTTTCGATTTGGGCATTACAAGTAATTAAGATGATCGTTTAGATTGTGTTTTTAAACACAGCAATAGTTCCTAACTCCAAATAAACACAAAAAACAGAATATTAATTTGTTTAATTTTCCAATATTATTTTTAACAAATTAAATTGATTATTTACAACCAAAATGCTATTGGATAGTTAGGACAAACATACAAAATATAAGGTAGTTGCTCGAAATTTAAACCCAATTCCTGATTCTGTCTATTAGCATACTATATCTCTTGTGGTTAGGGGAGTCTGGTACACTTTTTCTTTTAGAAATCTAATGGATTTAGGTCAGGGGACCGTGGAGGCCAGGCGACTGGTCCTCCACGGCCGGTCCATCTTTCTGGATAATTTTCGTCCAGCCACTTTCTAACTATTCTCGAATAATGAGTTGGACAATCATCAAGCTGGAACCAGACCAATCTTCTTAAATCTAACATAACATCATACCACATATTTGCATGTTCAGTCTTTAAAAATTCCAAGAAGGTCGCAGCATTTAACCTTGCAGGCAAAAGGTAGGGTCCAAATAGTCGATTACGATAGATACCAATCCACACGTTCACACTAAATTCATGCTGAAAATTTCTTTCCCGAACTGCACGCGGATTTTCATGCGACCAAATATGTTGATTATGAAAATTTACCACTCTACGTCTAGTGAAGCATGACTCATCGGTCCATAAAACGTTACTTAAAAACTCCCTATTATTATCAGTTCTATCAAGAATTCACTGACAAAATGTGTTTCTTCGTTCTCCGTCCCCTGGCTGTAGTCCTTGCACAGGTTGCAAATGGTAAGGACGTTTATGGTCATTTCTAAGAACACGGTGAACATGGCTCGCTGGAATTCCCAAGGCACCAGAAACTCTCCTAACACTTGTGGTCGGATCTCTATCAAACTCACGCATAATCATACGGGTAAATCTGCGCCGACGAACATTTATGTTTTGATCCCTTTGGAGATTTCCAAAACCATTTTCAATTATTTGGCGATGCACTCTTACAAATACTGAGCGAGTTGGATATCGTCTGTTTGGAAATCTGCGTGCGTATTCTCTGGCTGCTTCTGCTGTGTTTCCATGTACAAAGCCATACGCAAAATGAATATCCGCTAACTCTTGATTGGAGAATAAAAATGGCATTTTTATAAAACTTACAAAAAAAAACAGGTAAAAGAAACTAAATTTCGTGCATTCACAATTGCAAAAAAAACGTTTCAGGTTTCAACAGACAACAAAACTAACTGTCAACTAATTGACGTTTAACCTTATTCTGCTTTCGATTTCAAAAATATTTGCAGGCACAGCCTACTTCTAAAAATTATCGAGATACTGGCTTTTTAACGTATTTTATCATAAATAATTAAAAAAGCATCGAACCTCAAAAATCGAAATATCTCAAAAACGGCTAACTATAACGAAAATTCATAAGAGAGCTTATTTATGTTGAAAAGTGCGAAGAATCAGTTTTTTTATTCAAAAAGCAAAAAATAGCACTAAGGAAAAATTTTCCCTCATTTTAATTTACTACAGGTACAGTAGAGAGCGCCCTCTAGCGGCTACAGTAAAACTATGCCCATGGTTCGTTTTGTCGTACCAAAAAACCCTTGTATACCAATTTTCACTGTTATACATCAAATATTGTTCGAAATATTTAAAAAAAACTATTTTAGAAAGTAAACTTAAACACCCTGTATTTCGGAAGCCACGCATTTTTCGACCCATGTTTATATAGACTTTATGCATTAATTTTGAAAGTTATATCGAATCTTAAAGTTATGCAACAATATACCCTGTATATATATTCTATTTAAAATAACAAATTTTTGTTACACTCAGTCTGAATAGTTGAAACTATTTTGTGTCATTGAGCGCATTATTCTCGACAAATCTCTAGCTAGAACTATTTTCTAATCATACGCTTCTGCACGAGTATTCCATATCTTGAAATCTGACATTATATCGATTTTTTGACATTATATTGGTTTTTTGTGATATTATGTAGGTTTTTCTACAAGATATTAACCTAGAACTAGCTGATGGACACGTTGTGAACTCGTTTTGTAGTTGTATGTTTTGTCTAAACGTCATGAGGCTCCAGTTATCAATATTTGGCTCTGACGTGACGTAAAATCATCTTCAGAGATGGCATGACTGGAGGTAACAGCAGTGCATGGGTGCATAGTGAGAATTTGTGTGCTAATAATGTGTTATGATAATTCCATTGGATTCGTGTCTCAAATGTAATTACTTGATATTCAAAGCTAGAAATTAGTGCGCATCCAGCTTTTTTTATCCATGCTGGAAATTACATATGCAAATTTGCAGAATTTCAAGCATGAGAGAGATAAGAAATAATCATATTCACTATATACTGTCGAATTACAAGTCATATACATGCTAACAGTAATAACACACAACGCTGTGGTGATTTACCTTAATTCTCCTCAAACTTTTTGAAAACATAAAAACACGTACAAAATTGTAATTTATAACTTTGAACATAACCTGTCTTCAGAAAGAACAACATATAAATAATCCAAGAGCATTGCTAATAGGTATAGATAATAATTGGCAGCATATTCAATAATGATTTTCTCACACAGCAAATATCACTGATTTTATACACAGGCAGACCAATACACACAATCATCCAGACGCAATCTTGCTATTCCACCAACTTTTTTCTCAGAGATGAAAACTATAGACTACTCGGCTTCACAAAACATATGCAACTAGCAATGCGTGTAGTTGAGCCATTCCTCAATAGATGGACGCACCTAACGATCCTAGTGAGCAAACCTGGAATGACTGTTTACACTCAAAAAACTACCTAGTCTGCAAGATGACATTTTTGGGCATTTTTTGACGCTTTATAGGTTTTTTTATATAATACCCGAGCGGCAGTTCTTAGGGTGCAATCATTCCACGTTTGCTCACTAGGATCATTGTGAGCGTCCGTCTATCGAGGAATAGCTCAACTACACGCGTTATTGGTTGCATATGTTTTGTGAAGCCGAGTAATCTGTACACTTTAGTTTTCATCTCTGAGAAGAAAGCTGGTTGAATAGCAAGATCGCATATGGATAATTCTGTGTATTGGTCTGCATGTGTATAAAATCAGTGATATTTGCTGTGTGAGAAAATCATTATTAAATATGCTGCCAATGAAGTATGTTTATCTATTAGCTGTGCCCGACGGGTTATTTGTGGTGTGCTTTCTGAAGAAAGGTTATGGTCAAGGTTATAAATTACGAAAAAGTTTGAGGAGAATTACGGGAAGTCACCACCTCGCCTGCGTTGTGTGTAATTACTTAGCATGTATATGACTTAATTCGACAGTGTACAGTGAATATAATTATTTCTTATCTCTCTGATTTTTAAATTCAGCGAATATGCGTATGTAATTTCCAGAATGGATAAGAAAAAGTGGATTCGCAACTAATTTCTAGCTTTGAATCTCAAGAATAATGGAATTACCATCAACACATACAACTTACAGCTTAGCCTTCCAGTAATGCTATCTCTGAAGCAGATTTTACATCAAATCAGAGCGAAACATTGATAACTAAAACCTCATGACGTTCAGGCAACACGTACAACTACAAAACGAGTTCAAAACGTATCCATCAGCTCGTGATAAGTTAATATCTTGTCGAAAAACCTACAGAATGTCAAAAAAAAACAGTACAGTGTCAAAGAAAATCATTACAACGTCACTTTTCACGATACGTAATACCCGTGCGGGCATTTTTAACATGAATCATAGTACTTGGTCATACAAGTTATTTAACCTTGAACCGAAATCCAGTTTTATATCAGAGAAGTATTATGGAAGTAGCTTAAATGCAACTTAATACTACCAAACTTGTTCGAATGCACATGCAAAATAAAATGATAAGATTTTAGTGTAGAGGTATTGAAATACTAATTATGTATACTGAAGTAGTAAATTACTTCAATAAGAAGGATTTTCACAAAACTAAACTTGAATTACAAAAATGGAAACTTGACAGCCTAATAACTTGTTCAATAAGTTTCTGAGATGCTGCCTCCATGGTTTGAATTACCGGAATTTTTTTAGTTTTCAAAACTATTTTCTGAAATCATTGTCAAGTTTTCACTTATCTGGATATAGTTTATCTAAACAATTCCATTTTAGGTTCAAAACACTAATTGAAAGATAAATATGCTTACCTTATGAACTACTCAGGCATGTCACAAGAAGAAAAAGAAGTGTGCTAAAAACTACTTAAGTGTTTCATTGTATGTACAATTTTTGTGCCCAAAATTATGTACCATATGGTTATAATTTCTTGTGCCCGCGTTGTCTCCAATTTGATTTTTTCTAAGCGCCAATTGTCATTAGTGTTCATATCCCATCCGGCTTGCTGATAGTATTATAAAGCTAAGTACTAGAAGGGGTTTGTAGCCTTTTGTTCTATCAGGTACTTCTATAAAGAAAATTCCCCATGCATCGAATGCATCTTTTACTCACCAACGACCATGGGTATACTTACTGGAACCTGACAAAAAATATGTTGATTAAAGTAATATACTTAACTCGTAATAAATATAATTGCATCAAGCGCAAGAAAACATTCAATTTTAAGTATACAGTGTGTCCCAGATTCGCTTCTCTGTACAGGGTCTCGGCTCCTGTTATACTTACAGCAAAGGGAGATGTTTTATAGGAAACTTAGTGCTTTCGATAGCCGGCTTCAGATTTACAATCGGGTAATTGGTTACAAAAATATAAGCGAAAAACCGAAAATGGTGCAATTCATTTTTTGCCAGTAAATTTAAAAAATAAGATAGCCTGTATGACATGTCCCAATCGTCTTTTGTTTTCCAGCAACCCGCCTCAACTTTCATTTCTTATGGCCGCCATATGGAATTTTCTGATTTCTGAAAGAGTTTAAAATTCCCAGTCTAGTGATGTCTCACAAGTGCATAAAAGATAGGAGTATCACCGAAACATCATCATACGTAATTTTATGTATTAGTTTCTTTGTAAGGAGGCCATGATTTATTTGTCAGAAAATAACATTAATGAGTAAGGCATAAAAAACATATACACGCCTTGAATTTTCAATAGAATATTAACGTTAATATCGACTTCTCAACAAGTCCAATGTTCTGGGACAAATTCCCAACTATAAGTGTGTTGAAAAAACAAGTCAGAAAAATCGTTGTAAATTTATTTTACACTTGAACAAACAAACATTTTACAAAATTGTCATGTAATGTAAAATCTAATTATGTAAGTGGGTATTAATTTACCAATTTGAAAAATAGCGTCCACTTGTATCCAGACATTTTTGACACCCTTAGCTAGTGTGTTTCTGTTAATGTTTCTACCTGTGCACATAATTCTTTGACTTAGGATTTCTATGGTTGCAGGAGGACCTCATTTGTGACCCCAGAGGTAGTAATCCAAGGGTGAAAGGTCAGGGGATCTAGGAGGCCAAGATATTGAACCATTTAATGAAATTATTCTTTCATCAAACTGCTCTCTTAAGAAGTTCCTGACTTGAATGATGTTATGAGCCGGACATCCATCCTGCTGAAAGCAGGTTCTTCTAAACTCATCTTCAGTTAAATTAGCGCGTGAAGCCGGCACAACCTGGTTTCGCAAACGCTCTAGGTAACTCTGTCCAATTAGGTTGTAGTCAAACAAAAATCTAACTATAAGTCAATTTTCTGAAATGATTAATACCTAATTTCAAATAGGTGCCCAATAAAGAAAGGTAAGTTAGATTAAATTACCAATGATCCCACACCAAACGTTAGTCTCAAATCTGGTCTGTAGACGTCCTTATGCCACTTCGTGAGGGTTTTCCACAGACCTATGATGAGTGTTGTAATTATTAAAAACTTCTCAATTTGTAAACCTACTCTTATCGGACCAAAAGACATGATTTACAAAATCGGGATTTCCATTAGACTTTCTATTATGCAGTAAATCAGTTTCCTTAAGTTCTTCAACTATCTATATTATGTTATATATATTCATAAGGTTTGTATGGATGGTACTTATTCTTATTTAACACTCTCTGTACTGTCGATTTTGACATACCAATTTCTCGTTCTCACTGATGCACTAGGGATTTCGTTGACAGCTCGTAAAATGTTTCTGTCGCGGTATTCATTTTCAGTATTGTATCCGCTTCTAGGTTGTTTGAAGGTCCCATCCCCCGGTTTATTAAATTAACTAATACTTTTCTAAATTGGGTTTTATGAGGCTGCTGTCGTTCGGGGTACATCTCCAAGTACCTTGCTGAGGTAATGTCGGCGTTTCAGTGTGACTGCAATACAGCATGTAACATGTCAAACATTTTTCATTTGACTAGGGAATACCGGCCATTTTAAACAGGTTTTGACAATTTTTTTGTCAGATTTATGATTTTAAGGAGAGAAAACGTACACCTATTTTTTATCGAAATACAATTTTAATACTTTACTGGTAAAAAACAAAATATTCCCAAAACCAATTGACCGATCGTAAATCTGAAACCGACTATCGAATGCACTAAGTTTCCACTGAAACTTTCCCCATTTAACCTTTGCTGTAGGTATAGCAGGAGCCGAGATCCTTGTATAGAGAAGCGAATCTGGGACACAATGTATTGCATAAAAGGTTGAACTGTAAGCTGTCTGATGAAAACTGGTCAGAGATATATAATCAGGATGATCCGGAAAAAGCATTTGATATTTTTACCTTACACCCTCAGCCATATATAAATTCATGTAGACTAAAATTAAAAATAAATAAAAATTCCTCGGATATCGAATGGAATTATAACATCAATTTACAAAAAAATTAAACTGTATAGAGAAACTAAAAGATTTCCACCAAGTTAAAACTTATAAATAAATGAATTTAAATTATATAGAAATAAATTAACAACATTTAAAGAGCCTAAACTATAATTTTTCAAAAATGAAGTGAACACACTTCTTCGACCAAAATGTGGCATTTAATAGAAAAAGATGCAACATTGTAATGAGCGGCTGGATTGTGGCAACGACGTGACTGTTTTGTTATGTTAGCTTACGGTACTTATAGTTCAAGAACCTGCTAAAAAAAGGTAAGAAACCCGTTTTACATAAAATTCTATTCCCTATAAAGAGATAATAGTCTGTATATGCTTAGATTGTTAGTTTAGCCGTTATAAACAAAATATCATAGATGTAGACTTATCCTTAAATTTCTCGTAAGCTGTTGGCTATGCGGAAAAATTCTGTAAAAGCAAGGTGATAGAGAACTTAATTTCCTACAAAATTATTTGCTATTACTTATTTACATAGTATCGCTGGTATACAAGATGTTTGATGGAACGCATTTATCGACATGACTGCTAATGTCCTCTATCACGTCGCCAATTTGGACACAGAGCGGAATTCTAAAAGAATTTAAAAAAAAATCTGTTGCTCCTCTTTTTGAGAAAAAATTACCTATTCTCTGGAGTAAAGTAAGAAAAATAACATTTGGTAATGCACTAGGCTTACCAAACTGCAGTGGAGCAACATCCATACGCGGTTTAATTGAACGCAGTATTTCAGCAGCAACAAACTGCTTACTACACTATCTGTATCCCCTCCGAGCATAGGTTTCTTCTATTTTGAAAATGTTCAGTGTGTTGCAGACTCTCGCTGAACAGTTACCGTATCGTCGCGATGCAGGAAATGCGGGAAATTTTGCGGAAAATTGTTGCAGGAAAGCAAGGAGCTTCCGCTAGGTTCGTTGGCGTATGGAGCGTATGGGGAGGGAGAACACGTATCTCGCTTCTTACTGCCTATTAAGACACATAAAATGCTGTAAAGAGCTTTTGCTGGGGTTATTTTCACAAATTTGTTAAACTATTAATCAATGTGATAAATCAATCAGAATTTCTAATCAATACAATCCATCACGCCTCGTCTTGTCAATACTTGAAATGATGTGTTGAGTAGGAAAACTACTTGCATTCCCGCTGTTTTGACAAAATCTTTACCGCATTGTAACCCCTGTTTTTACTATACCTGAGCAGCCGCTAAGGCACAAGCCTAAATACCAGGGCATAGCAACCAAGGATGTTTTTGGTTCCAGTTATCGTTTGATTCCTCTGTAGCCATATTGCAAATAACTTAAAGAGTTACGAAAGTGCCCATACTGCGCTACAAATATTCCCCTTTGCTTAGAGGTTGTCTGAAATGTTTTCTCACGGTCGTAAGACCATTTATTACTAAATGCGCTCGTTGAAGGACCCTACATCCCTTTAATTATTCTTGCACCGAATCAGCCGCACAAGCAGAAGCCTAAATACCAGGGCACTGCTGCTGCAATGAGGAGCTTAAAGAAACTGTGTTAATCCGATTCTTGAACTGCCTAAGGTCAGTCGAACTGGAAAAATCCTCCTATGTTAGATTTTTCCAAAATCTCGATACCCTGAGAATACATGAGCGACCAGTTCTGAATGAACAAAGTTTGACACCGTTAGGATGGGAGGCCGAAGTCAGGCGGATCCGTATGTCAGGCACATCATGGAGCAGAGGTCTTCGGAGCAGAGTCCAGTAACATAGCAGTAGAAGAGAGCTAGATCGCCGACGGCACGTCGGTGCCAAAAGGTCCCGAAACTGTCTTTTAGAGAAAAGTCATCGATCAGCCGGACAGCTCTCCCCTGAACAGCATCGAGCATGGATGATGTAGACGGGGCGATAGCACCCCACACATTTGAGCAGTACTCGATGCTAGGCCTTATCTGGGCCTTGTACAGAAAAAGATGTTAATATTATTATTTTATTGACGATAATGCCCAAGAAGGACTAAACAATATCGATAGGACGAACGGTTGAAAAATATTCGCAGTAACGAAAAAACTTAAAAAGCAACCAGGACAAAACTTAATCATAGCAACACGTTTACTATATCCTTCAACGTTTAAAAACGATTTATTGTTATTGCGTTTAGTTACCACATAAACTTGTATGGATGAAATATTGCTCCTAGACACAAGCTATTTGAAAGTGTTCAGTATTTTTCTACATCGCCTCTGTGGGAGCATTGTGTCCCACTAAGTGGGAAAGATGCCTAAATTGTGTTTTTTAGATATCCATATTTTCATTCCATTTTTGGATAGACCTAAACGCGTCTGCTTTTTGACGAGTATTTTGTCTGAAAGATAGTCCTGAGCATTTTATTAAGAAGTTTATGTCTTGGAACAAACTCCATCTTGTGCATATGGTAGAATTGTTATGCTGGTGAACTGGCTAATAGGGATGATGAAAAAAATGTGAATAAATATCAAACAACTATTACAAATCTAGCAACGAACCCAGAATAGACTGTAATTGGTACGGATTGCACAACCTGGAGGCCATGTATCTTGGAAACTACTCGTGAACATTTAGCGCATAGATATTTTTGTTCTACGTGTTGACATCTACAAAATATTTAATTTTCAAAACATTTAGGTGAAGGGCATAATGTTTCCGCGGGGATATTTCACAAAGAGAAAAATTTGTTCGAGTAAAAGGGAAAAATTATGTAGATTAGGTAAAAATATAGTACTGATGAGTGTTTCAGCTTCATGCGCGAAAACAAAAACATTGTAAAGCACCCACCAAATTAACGTGTGAAAACATTTTAGCACAATTTGGAAGTAGAAAGATTCGCTAAAGGGAAAAAAAATGTAGATAAAAGAATTGCTTGAAGTTATGATAAATGTAATTCGGACTACATGTATGTATGTCGAAGAAAAATGTGAACCGACAGATCAGTTGAAATGTATCAGATTTTAGAAGGAAAATAATAAATGCCTACGATATCCTCCCAAATTTTGCTGCCAATATTCTCGACATAAACCTGCTTCCGAGGTGAGTGGGAGCATCGGGAGCCTGTTTGCTCAATTGACGCAGTGATGCGACCTTTGTAGAACAAACAACAGCTATTAGCAGACCCCAATCGATACTTTGACCAGCAGCTCGAATAATTCATAAGCTAGATAGTAAAATTAACAACGAGCTCTGCCATACAGATTAATTTAAATCCAAAGCGAAAAGTAATTAAAACTTTAATCAACTTTATTGTTATGCCGCTGTGGTTTGTTTTAAAAACATTGACGTACGCTGTTTGCGGCTGAAACGTGGAGTAGAGTCGCGTATGGGACTAATGGGGATAAAAACTGGGTCACAACAGACGCATTTATCTGTTTCAAATTGAATACTCGTATAAATTCCAAATATCATTTCACATAAAACTGTCATAGAACAATGTTTACATATTTTTTTCGCCAAATAAAAAATTGTATCAAATAGATTGCCTGCGCTCTTAATAGATTCAGGAGCATGAAAAGCGACTGCGAAAGTCTTAGATCTGTGAAAAATTTATCTGATCACGTCAAAAACTATCAGGAAGTTGTGGCGGAAACATAGACGCTGCTACTAAATTATCAATTCTCGGTACAGCCGTTTTTAGAATTATGCAAGCGGGTAGAAAAACGCAGAAAAGAGGAGAACCACAAACAAACAAATCAACGGTAGAGAGCGACAAGAATTTTCGTGATTAAACGGCACAAAACATTTGTTGTTATCAAAAATTCGATAATTTTCATGATCAGAATACTTTTCTGGCTGGTGCGTGGGAAGTAAAAGAGGGACAAGTAAATTGACTCAGTGCTTACTATATGCTGATATAAGATGCCTGTTCCCCGTTATGCAGACAGACAAATCCAAACTACCCAGGGCTTAGTCTACACCAAAATTATTAGTGAGTTCAAGAAAATTTCACATTTTTCTAAAGATCATAAGTTTTCTACAACCTGTCTGCATGATTTCAGAATTTTCTGTTTGCCTATAGATTGTTCACTATGCCTTAAAAAGATAGTAAAATAGCAAACCAACAAAAAATACAAATTTGGATTCCATCCCTTCAAAATTTTGGCGCTTCAAAATCACCAGTAACAAAAATGAGATGATACGCTATAATGTCTTGTTATTCGCTTTCGTTGGTCCTTGTGAAATTGTCTCAAGACTCCATTCAAATTTATTACTAGACTCTTCAGTTGTTCACTGCATTAAAAATAATGGATACATCAAAATCTCTCGAAATATGCGTTTCTAGGGAAAAATGTCTTGCAAGACAGTTGTAAGATTTGAAAAGAGTATCTAATGGTAACCTTGATAATGACCCTCCCATCCTTGACACCAGAAAAACAAAGGCAACAATTAACAGACGGGTGAAAGGAAGGCCGATGGAAATGAGCGACATAGTTCTTAGCAACATTGCATACATAAGTCCCGCAGGTTTGCCTGTCCTAAAGAAACCACATATACTTAAACTTCCTCTGGGTGGTAGTTCGCGTTTTCGGAGGACTTTTGGTGTTTTCGGTATGATGTAGGAGTGCGACGTATCTGGTACATTAAAAAAAGACAGATAACCTCAAGTTCAATTATCACTTTGAAAGGCTAAACATCTTATTGAAACACGACTGCCTACCTCAGGCGATCTCATGCTTTGGTGATTTTGCGCGTTGTCGTCTCAAAGTTGGAATGATGGCTTCGTGCAATCTGAGCATATACTACTCGTCGTTGATTCTCAAGGCGGTCCAGAGGACCTTAGCCTTTAGGTCATAGTCACTGTAATGTCAGTGTCTGTCGTCAGTCTGTCATGTCTGGTGGCCCAGAAACCAGACAAGTTGTAGGGGAAAGGGGAGAGGGAGAAAGAAAGGAAGGAAGTAGGAGCGAGAAGAGAAAGAAAAGGAATTGTTTTATGTAAATATTTGATGTGTGATAGATCTAAGAACTGTTACATTGTACTATATAAATTTTTGACTTGTCCCGAACTGAATTTTGGGTCTTTGGTTTTTAAAAACTATAATTTTTAAACGACTTAACATGACTTTGATTTCGTTCACAGTGCGAGTTGCGGCCTGGAATCTGAGCATGTCACATGACCTTCCATACTGTTGTAGTAACACACTGTATGGGAATGTGAAAATGAAAGAAAAAAATTATCGAAGCGTCACCTGAAAGACAGATAAATTAAATCTATTATGAAAAAGTTTCAATATTCTTCAAGAAGTCACCGTTGGAGCCAAATCGTCGAATATCAAAGAGGAATTTCAACATGAAAGTCACAGGATAAGTTTAAAATAATGTTACATGACATAAAACGTTGTGAAAGTCAAAGAAGAAACCTTTTAAAGACATGATATCGCATCGGGTACATATCTGGATACAAATGTTATACAAATCAGGCAGCAGCGATGGCCGCAGTGGTAGACGCTTCGTCTCCTGATCAGTCGCCGTGCGCTGCGAGGGTTCGAATCGCGTCCCAAGAAAATGTTTCTCTTGGCTATGGATTTTGTGATTATCCATAGGTGATAGATGGTCTCTGAGTATCGTACGCGGAGGTACCACCTGGTGGACGTCATAGGTGGGGCCAGAATGTGTTCATGCTGCATGCACACGTGTTTCCTCGCTTGAGTCCGTGTGACGTCCCAAACTTTTCCCCCTGTATTCCCCTATAGCCCCACGGTACCCATGGGTGTTTAGGCCTTAGGCCATCGTGGTAGCTGGAGTATATAAAAAAAATAAAACGTTGTGAAAATTAAAGAAGAAACCTCTTAAACACGTGGTATCCCATCGGGTAGATATCTGAATACAAATATTATACAAATGCAGTGAATATATCACATTAAGGGCGCATCGATTTTTCTATTTCCACTTAATCTTTTTCTCCCATCTAAAACGGCAGGAACTTTGTACGTTAGCTAATGAATTCATGTTATTTGTAGGATACTTGCTCGGAATAGAG